TTCGTCCCAGAGGCGTCCCAGAGAATATTTCTCTTGTCCCACACATTTTCTATCGTCCCAGGATGACAGGAGCCATGACTGTAGGCTATACTTAAATCCAAACTGTGACTTAAATGACTGACTGGATGCTTCATGTCGAGAGGCCATCAGTGCTAAACAAGCAGCAGTCCAGCAACAAGATTTTAGCACTGAATCTCTGTGTTAAAGCACCAGTCACAGAGCACTGTAACGCTGTAACTAACAGTTAGCGGGTTCAAAACTCCACTTCTGACAGCTAGTTCTTCTGCCTCTAATGAACCTGTAGCTGCTGCAACCCCAGGTCCCATTCACAGTGAATAGCAGCCTATCGCTGCGCGGCTGTGTCTCAGGAGCAGAGTGGGTCATGCAATGATCACCGGGTTTCATCCTCACTTCCTCCAGTCCACATGTTGAGGTGTCTTGGACAAGACACTTAACCCCAAATAGCTCCCGAAAGCACTTTGGATAAAAGCGCAATAGAAATGGAGCTATTGAATGCTGAATCCAAAATGTTTTCTCGCATTCATCTCATTGGTTTGGTGTCTTGATAATGGTTCAGCACAGGTAGCAAATGTTCTTCAGTTTTTGTTAGCAAGGAGAACGGTACTAGCATAGGTAGCGATAAGGCAACAGGACATAACCTTGTGGAACACAGCATTGCTAAGAAGTAAATCCATTTTCAGAGCTCACAGTTTACTTCTTCTTTTAACTTCCACTATCATATTTCTGTGAACTTAGCCTGAACCTAGTACTCTGTGGATTGTTGCATGTGGATACATAATAAAGGGATCCATGACCCAGTCTCAGTTTCACAAATTTCAAATTAGATTTTAGTATACATGTCATTTTCATCTTGTACTGTGGAATTAGTGGAGGTTGTGGACACCAACTAAATAGACATGTACCTTCAAAAGAATTAGACTACTACTAGAGCACCATCAAACTTTGCCCCTTTCATGGTGCGATTGATTATGTTTCTAGTAAAATACCAGCTGTGTCAGCAATCATCAGTATTTCATCCATCCACCACTATTTGTCCATATGTCACTCTAACTTAACTTGCTAGAAAAATCAAAATGACATGAGAAGCTCTTCCAGCTCTCATTTGCAAAAACTGATCACTACCAAAGTTTTGCCAGCTTTGAAATTGGCACTTTAGAACTGTAGTAATTAGAATTTATAACTTTAAATTAAAAGTAATGGATTGTTTCAGAGGGGAGACAAAGAGCCAAAGAAGGTTGCGTGCCACTCTATCTTGTATCGCATGGTTTCGGGCAAATATCACCCTTGTTCCCTTATCATTTCAGCATCAAGCTCTGAAGAAGAGAGTCTTTGCCGCAGGAGATGATGTGTGTCTCTGTGGATGACAGATGGAGCTGTAATTTCTCTGTCGTGGATCTGGTCCAGATGAGATCAAATGTTGGGTTTCTCCCACATTTGGCCTGGCTTCGAGACCGTTGGTCGTGGTTAAACGGTCATAGATTGCAAAGGCTGCAAGATGTGCAGAGAGTTACATAATAATGTACTGATATAAAAGTCTTTGAAATGAGTATTGTGGCTTGGTGGTTAAACCTGCTGATAAACAAGTATCCTTTATTTATGGCAGGACACTCCAAACTGCTTTTAGGTGTAGTGAATGCTACAATGGTACCCTTTCGACAGCCATGGTGAAGGGGAAAAGTTGAAGAGGACAGAAAGGCTGCCTTTGTTGATCGGGGATTTCCAAATGACTGCAGTCCATTTATTGGTAAATCTAGATGCCAGGATCTGTCATTACAATGTTAAAATTGATATGTAGCTTTATCAGTTTTATGTAACATCTAAAAAAGCAGCAGACAAGGCCAGATTACCAGCCCGTCTAAGGGGATAACTGGAGCCCCAGACCCATAATTTTATTGAATGCATTTTTTTTTAATACTTGATGCACCACTAAATCACAATATAAACTGAAATGATAAGGGCTTTAAAGGAAACACCTGCATTATCACATAATCTTCAGGCATTATAGAGGTATATTATGTGTGAGGTGTATGTTGTTCCTTTTTGTCGCTTTGGATAAAAGCGTCTGTCAAATGAGTAACTGTAAATGTAATACAGCGGGGCATTCCTCATGACTTTCAAGAAAGAAATGTGAAACCAATTGGTATGAGATGATTCAGTTTTGATGAAATACTTAGAATATAAGTGGGACAGATCACACTGTTGTGCTAGGCAGTGATTATGAATGATGTTGATGCCATGGGCACAACATGCGGCCATGAGGCAAAGCCATCAGTAAAATCCTTGTGTATACATCAGCTTTCTGTATCCCATGCGGCACTGTGCCAGTGTATTTTTCCCAAGACAGCAGTCCGAAGCTGAGGCGCTGAAGCTGAGGCATCATGGTCTAAACATTGGTCATTTGTTTTCATACCATCCAGTTACACTAAATGACACGACTTATCCTTCCACATCATGTGAACACAAGAGCCTCCGACCTCTCTGATGCAAGCAAACATAAACTAATCATAAAGGTGATGAGTTTCTACGACCTCATTCCAATTATAGTGCACTATCTCTTTATTTAGCTTTAACTTCAGCCATGTTCGCATTTCACATTGTTGCTATTCCTGATGTGCTTTTATTTATGGTTGCGTAATCCTAAAGGCCCAGTTATGGAAAATATCTTTTTGGGTTCCACAGAGAAAAATAATGAAAATAACAGATACAGCTTTATTTTCCCAAATTTGCTCTGGTCACTGTCCTTGAAACTGATGTGGAGCGAAGGGGAGAGACAGTCCTTCAGCTATTTCTACTGGAAGTCACTCAACTATTTCGGAGTGATTACTACCAAGCGGGAACATAGTAGGAAGCTGTGGGCTCAGAGCCAAAGGCAATACATCTGTCAGCAGCACAAGCTCATTCTGCCACTTGTTCCTCATGTGCAGCAGTACATGAGACAAAGTACTCCTCTGGGTCAGGCTGCATTTCACATGACTTTTCAGTCATTACCAAGACTTTTGTAGATTTGGTTCTAGTATTTGGGGCGTATTAAAGGAACATTTTAACTCATTAGCATGATTATGTTTATGATTATCAGAAATGTCTCAAACAAAATCTAGTTGAACATTTGGGGTGGATAAATCACAGGCTAAACAGATACATGTACACTCAACAGTCAAGCCTATTTATCTTCATATGTCCTCATTCTGGGTCCTCATCCGCTGTAACAGAATGAAATGGAACTCTAATCAAATAACTCCAGTCAGTCTGGAGGCGACTAATGAAGACAGAAAGAGGGAGAGGCCAGATAACAAAACAGTAGTAAAACAGTGTTGGACAAATTGCTTCATCATTTTGGGCCACTTTAGTGCAACTTTAAATCCTGCATCTAAAGTAATAAGACATTTTGATCTGTACAAACTAAACTAAATCTTTACCTGGTGCATGAAAGTTTCCCTGTTCAACCAGGCTGCAGTATGTACCGCCAAATTGTCCCAATCCAGAGATGGCTTCTGACAGTGACTTCAGACTCTACTTGAGACTCGTCCTGTGAACAATGTTTATTTTTAGGAAACGTCTGATGAGCTTACTATTATTCCCCTCCCTCCGTTACCTATAACCTGCCTACATAACACGTAGTATCTGCTGCGTGCAGCCACATGTACGAGAGGACAACACACTGGTAGCTGTTGAGCCATTCATCATAAACTTTGGCTTTAAAAATTCATACAACAAGACCCAAACAAAAGAAGCGCTGAACACAAAATGGGTTAGTAATATGTGGTGATTAAACATGTTTATTTCAGCATTGGCCATCTAAAGTTAGCTTGCTTCTTACTTTAGCTACAGTCTACTGGAGGTATGGTCCGACTGTCGTTCGTTATGAAAGATGAATGAGCGTTTGTTTACTGTCCAAACTTGTGGTAGTCGATTAATGTAATCATTTTCGTCCCGCTGGCTGCCATCACGTTAATTATTAACAAACAGGTTACAGGTTTATTGTTGATCATGCAATGTTACAGTTTTATTTAGTTAATGTTACACTGGGTTTAATAAGCTGTCATTACATTTTCAAGAGTCAAGAATTAAGAGATTTATTATGTTTCAGGTTTTGTTAATGTCAGATGTTAAAGAGGAATATTTAGCATTTCACATTCTCAAATGTTTATTATAAATACAATAAAATGTTTGATGTTTCTGGATGGAATTCAGTCATCTCAGCTTAACGTATTTAAACGTTTCTACTTTTGTATATGATTATATTCACTTATTAAAGCATTAAGCACTCTGCAAGAAGAGGTGACACGCCCAAGATGTTAGTGTTATGTTTGGAGCATAGTGTATGTTATTATACAACAGCATTTGCATTCATAAAGCTTTTGACAGAAGGCAGAGTGAGACCAAGTGCAACCTGATTACATGAAGTGCATAAGCACAAACAACATGTAATAATGGCACAGGTAAATATCAAATTAAAGGTGCAATCAAAGCAAAGGTTGTCTTTGGTCTGAATTATAGTTTAGAAATTTAAACTGTTCAATATTTTTGTAATTAATTAATCTGAACAAAAGTCATGTGACTCAGAATCAGCTTGTTTATTAGACTGATTATAGACACACTACAGTACAAACTGTAGCAGACAGAAAGCGTTTTGCAAGTTCAAAAACGCAAGGCACACAGCAATGCCTTTTTTGTCTAATCTAATTATAGCGCCAGCAATCTGTAATCTTTGGTTTGCTGCTAACTGTCAAATTAGCAGAAACTTGATCACAACTCACAGGTCTGTGTTTTTTTTTGCTGAAAAAATCTGCTTTAAAAAAAAAAATAAAGACAAATGAAGGGCGCTTGCTCCGGCACTGTTTGAGGGTGAGCAGTGTATAAACATGTAGGATACATGGAAACGGAGATTCGTGTGGGTACACGAGACCCTCAGAGAGGGGAGACACCACTGGTAGTACCACCAGTTGGTCCAGCAGCTTTGGCTTAATGATGTTCGGTTGCAACTCTAAACTTCCGTCACCACAACTGAGGGCCTGTCTCTCCATTCATTCGATTGGACAATGGAGGGGAAAAAGCGAATGACGTTGCCGCTTTTTTGCCCAGAGTTTTTTCTCCATGCGTTCAGAGCGCTCCTTCAAAAACGCAAGGCACAGCAGGTGCTCAAAACTCGAACGCTCACTGTACAATTAAGAAAATGCTTCTCACTGGAAAAAAAAAAAAAAAGGAATTCTCCAATGCAAAGCACAAAACTAAAACTACATTTAATATCTCAGTAAAGATGTGTGGCTTTCTCTTTTCTGTTTTTTAGAGTTTTTCACGAGGTAATTTCCTGTTAATTTAAATTCCGGTTAATTAAACTATATTATACTAGCTACTCAAATAGTATAGTATGTATTTGGGAATACCAAGGTAACTTGTCATCCTGCTGGTTGTAGCTTCTTTTTCTTTTTTTCCTTCATCCATGTTCTTTTATTCATAATCCTTTGTGTTTAAAAGCAGTTTCCTTCTTAGTTTGTTGGAAGTATTCATTTCTAACTGCATAACAGTTGTGCTGTTCAGGTGACTTACTATATTATATTGTATTTATCCGCTGCACAGTTTGTCACAGCACAGGTTTTTACCAGCTACAAGCCAGCATTTATTCAGCATCAAAACATTGCCTGGTTGCTGGAATATGAATGTTATTATATATTTTCTATCACTCACAGCAGCCAGCCTGCATACATTGACTTCTGTGTCCTCAACTCTATAAATAAATATACAAGTAAGCTTCCAGCCCCATATTTTTACACAACACACCCAACCTGCCCTACAGACAGAATTAGTAAACATACTAAATAGCACTTAAATTATTTCTGCAAGAGACGTTCAACATTGTTCTCACAACCTAGAACTTATGTGCTCTCATCATAGCAAAATAGAAACACATTCATTCTCCTGACAGGCAGAACAATGTTTTTGACCCTCTTACCTACAGCCTGTAATGTTCCCTGTAATTGTCCTTCTGGAAATGAACCTCTTGATCATGCCACATTGATTTAAAGTTTGGGCACAGGGAATTAACTAGCTCTGATTTGTTTGGGCATCAGCGCTTCCTTAATACCATTATGACTTCATGTCTTGTCACTAATTTTGGGCTCAGATGTTGGCTGTGTTATCATTAAAAGTAACATTCAAGTGTGTGAATCTTTCATGAATATTAGAATCTAAATATCAGAAATGTCAAATAAGATTGTATTATTTAGTATCTTCAAGTTTCACGAGTAGATAATAAGAATAGTAGTTATTATTTGTGTTTTTAAATTGACAGCTTGCCACCGCTGTTGTGTCCCTTTGATTAATGAAGCACAGAATTACTTCATTTAACTGTGACAGTTTGTCTCTGTGAAGGTGATGTTTTAGCTTATGTAATCTGAAACATTTCTAATTGAAATGTATGTATAAAGGCATACTATCAATATAATATTTAATGTAAACCTGGTTCCTGCTCAGATCTTAAACCCTATAGCACCATCTGGTGTATAGTTGTAGTAACGACTCATTTCAGTGACATTTCTGTGCCTACAAAACTTTTTTGTCAGTATCTCAGATGGTTATTTGACTTTAAAAAATGAATAATGTTCCTGTATATGATAATATTTTGTATGCTTCCCTTTAACCATCCACAACGTCCCAGAATCAACTCCAATATGATGTATGTATGCATAAATACTAAATACTTTATTGGTAACAACTAAGCTTAGCCCAGTGGGCCTTTTTCACTCATGACATTTGAAATTCAGCTAGCAGTTAGCAGCAGGTGTGGAGTTTCCAATTCTCACACAAAGAAAGAAACTACATAAATTACTATTAACAATATTTAAGTAACTTTAATCACGAAATAATATAGAAATATATTATAGATGTGAAGTTGACAAGATTTTCATTTGCACATGACTCTGCTGATGAAATCAGCCTATCCTCATCAGAAAAAAGGCTGTATAGGTCGATTATTGTATAGCTTATTACAACCCAGTTGTAGTTAAAGTTGACATGTTTTAGATTTTGTAGATGACTTATGTCATGTGACTCCAGCCTTAACCCAGCCCCAGCCCGAGGAGAGCCCAGCTCTCCTTACACGTGCTCTCTGATGCACGCACACATACGCGTTACAAAGAAGAAAACATATAATAGGCCTCAGATACCAGGGCCACCAACAATCACGCCCACATTTATTAAAACTGACTGTCCATTACAGAGAAATATAACCATGGAGTACAGAATATAGCTCAAACTAAGTGAGCCGGCAGCAAATATATAGATTTACCTTTCTTTCATTTTCCACATGTTAAACGTCATGTGACAAGTGACAGACTTGTACCAATGCTCTTAAGTGTCATTTTGGGAAACGGTCTTATTTTTCATTGTACTTTCCAACGGACATATTTGTTGTTTTGGTCTTGTATGTCATTTTGGGACAATTGACAATCTACCTGCTCGGTATGAGGACCTGTTGGTCTGGTTTGTAGATTGCAACCAGGTGTGTGCTCGTATGAGTGTTCAATCTTATGAGCAAGCATAATCCGACACATCTACAGACTCAATGGGAGACAGCTTCACACAGCACGCTGGAAACTCAGGTAAACTCCCACTACAACGTTACAGTAATATTTTTATCAGCTTGAAGTTGAAGTAATCTATGCACGTTACATGATAATGTTACATTTACTGCATTTAGCCGACGTTATACATCAGCATAAGCTCGTCTGCCTGCTTTTCGGGAATTAATGTTATTATTTGTTTCACCGGAGGCTCAGCAATGTCAGCACTTCTGCATGAAGCAAACAGCGGTAGATCCTTGCTAATGTTAGCTGGCTGCGCCTGCCTTGCATTACTAATGTTTTAGGCTAGTATAAAAAAGTCACTCCACATTTGCCTTGTGCCATTATGTAATTTCTGGTACACAGGATAGTAATATGAGTCGCGTTGTGAAGTAATGTAGACTGCCATTCAACTGTAGTATTTTGCACCGGATAAAGGTTAGCAACTGCTCGGCGTTAGCCCACGAGCTAACATTATCTAACTTTAGCCAACTAAAGCACAACACCACAGTATGTTTCACATGCTTTGCAGCAATGTTAGTTTACCTGTCCAATAGGATGAAAGCCAACTCTGTCGGTTTTGTCAGTTTCAAAACAAAGTGGAGGTCTCTCCGTGACTACAGCCTTTCCTTATGTTGACCCAACATCGTCTGAGTTTTTGTTGTGCTGGGAGACATTTTATGGTGTTAGTGGACTGCATTCCCCCTAGGTCTGGCTCAGACCTAGAATCTGGACCGGCAGGTTAAACAGGCTAGGAAGCACTATGTTGCCACTGAGGAGTGATAGAGAGAGGACCAAAGTTAGCGTCGTGCTCAAGCCAGAGCTTGTTTATTTCTGACTACAATCACATAAAGGCCTAGTCACATTATCTTTAAATCTCTGCTTAAAGTGCCTGTTAAACTAACACTAAACATTTCACAAATAAACAACAAAATGATGTAACCAAACTGACAATATACAATATATAAAACATTCTACCTTACGCAAAATAAGCACATCATATCAAAATAGTTTAACAGATATTCCACATACCGAAATTGACATAAGTCAAAATACTAATATGTAACAAAGTAATATAACTCAAAACACACATTCACTTTACTCCGATACCTCTGCAGTCACTCTCATATTAACATATTAAATAATTACAAAAAAATTATATCTATATAACATTTATTTTAACACTAGCATGAAATACACATACACAATCTTTCTACACATTTCTTGTATGTCACACTATCTCCCACACTTGCACTTAACCGCATGTGCGTAACAATATGGTGGTACCATGATATGTTAAGCGCAATTTATACTTCTGTTTCAGTGTCTCCGTCGTTCTGCACCGCCAAACGCTAGTTGGTGGTAGCGGTACAGCGTCCACTGTGGTGACCTTTGCTGGCCGAGAAGGCTAACTTCCGGTTTAGACATCCGCTAACTTGAATGGGGGTAAAATTATTATTATATATACATGCAGCTGTTACTGACTTTTCAAATGTTATTGACCGAATGGATCACATTCTGATAGTAAAATGAGTCATTTCGCTTGGGTTGTGACGCTCAAATATATTGATCCACCGTGTTACAGCCGCTGTTTTGGCCCCTAGTAGAATTTACTTCAAAGCTCGGAGCACTTCCTGTGCTGGCCTTCCCAGTCGACCAATCACAGTTCCACGGTCCACGTCGCCCCGACGTGTGGTGGGGGGCGCTGGCAGTATCGAAGTAAACAAGGGTCCTAGAAATACAGTTCTGGTCCTAGGATTATGGTACTGAAACTGCAGCCTCCGGTACTGAAGCTAACGTTACTAGCCAGATTAGCTATTGATACGACAGTTGATTAAAAAAACGTATTGTGCGGTGTTTACTCACACTAAACACTGTAGCAACACCTCCACAGTCAGCTGCTGGACAGCACTTTGTGTACGAACATTTATATGAGTCACAAGTACACAGAAGTGCTAATAAATAGTATAAACTACAGCTTTCACTAAATGGTGATACCCCGACAGCCATCTTTGATCACGAAGTCGGGGCAGTGCGGTTCTCCCGACTTCCCGAGTCGGAAATCTCGGAAATTTCGACTTCCCATGTCAAATGGAACGCACCAATACTACTCGGGTATTCAACGCAGTGTGTGACCAGCAATATGAGCTTGAATATGGTATCTTTCCTCTGACCACTTACTCCCTACTGGCTGGCTAAAACTCTTAACAACGTCTAGAACATATTATCGCATGTTACAGAATGCTCAAACTAGTTACTCTCACTTACAAATCTAACGTACCGTGTGAGACTTAAGTTCATGACAAAAAGAACTACTTATCATGACGTCAGAATAGTTAGCTACAAAATGAAGCTTGCTGCACACACACACATCTCGAATTCATCTTACAACACAACAGAAGATTTTATACTGCATTTACATTCCATCCTTATCCAAGCTAAACATAGAAAAATTAGTTTTACTGTACCTGTGAATTGACAAAGAGATGACCAAAGTTAGCGTCTTGCTCAAGCAGCTGCGCGTGTGCAGAGCTTGTAGTTACAGTCTCCCTACGCGATCCACAGCAGTACAAGAGCACCATCTACTGGCAAGCAAGTGTATTACCTTTATGTAAACACTACAGGTGCTGGTCATATAATTAGAATATCGTCAAAAAGTTGATTTATTTCAGTAATTCAATTCAAAAAGTGAAACTTGGATATTAAAATCATTCATTACACACAGACTGATATATTTCAAATGTTTATTTCATTTAATTGTGATGATTTAAATAATAACTTGATTTAAATGATGAGGAAAATTACAAATTCAGTATCTCTGAAAATTAGAATATTACTTAAGACCAATACAAAAAAAGGATTTTTAGAAATGTTGGCCAACTGAAAAGTATGAACATGAAAAGTATGAGCATGTACAGCACTCAATACTTAGTTGGGGCTCCTTTTGCCTGAATTACTGCAGCAATGCGGCGTGGCATGGAGTCCATCAGTCTGTGGCACTGCTCAGATGTTATGAGAGCCCAGGTTGCTCTGATAGTGGCCTTCAGCTCTTCTGCATTGTTGGGTCTGGCGTATCGCATCTTCCTCTTCACAATACCCCATAGATTTTCTATAGGGTTAAGGTCAGGCCAGTTTGCTGGCCAATTAAGAACAGGGATACCATGGTCCTTAAACCAGGTACTGGTAGCTTTGGCACTGTGTGCAGGTGCCAAATCTGCATCGCCATAAAGTTGGTCAGCAGCAGGAAGCATGAAGTGCTCTAAAACTTCCTTGTAGACGGCTGCGTTGACCTTGGACCTCAGAAAACACAGTGGACCAACACCAGCAGATGACATGGCACCCCAAACCATCACTTACTGTGGAAACTTTACACTGGACTTCAAGCAACGTGGATTCTGTGCCTCTCCTCTCTTGATTTCCAAAGGAAATGCAAAATTTACTTTCATCAGAGAACATAACTTTGGACCACTCAGCAGCAGTCCAGTCCTTTTTGACTTTAGCCCAGGTGAGACGCTTCTGACGCTGTGTCTTGTTCAAGAGTGGCTTGACACAAGGAATGCCACAGCTGAAACCCATGTCTTGCATATGTCTGTGCGTGGTGGTTCTTGAAGCACTGACTCCAGCTGCAGTCCACTCTTTGTGAATCTCCTCCACATTTTTGAATGGGTTTTGTTTCACAATCCTCTCCAGGGTGCGGTTATCCCTATTGCTTGTACACTTTTTTCTACCACATCTTTTCCTTCCCTTGGCCTCTCTCTTAATGTGCTTGGACACAGAGCTCTGTGAACAGCCAGCCTCTTTAGCAATGACCTTTTGTGTCTTGCCCTCCTTGTGCAAGGTGTCAATGGTCGTCTTTTGGACAGCTGTCAAATCAGCAGTCTTCTCCATGATTGTGTAGCCTACAGAACTAGACTGAGAGACCATTTAAAGGCCTTTGCAGGCCTTTTGAGTTAATTAGCTGATTACAGTGTGGCACCAGGTGTCTTCAATATTGAACCTTTTCACAATATTCAAATTTTCTGAGATACTGATTTTGGGGTTTTCATTAGCTGTCAGTAATAATCATCAAAATTAAAAGGAATGAACACTTGAAATATATCAGTCTGTGTGGAATGAATGTATACATTATAGAAGTTTCACTTTTTGAATTGAATTACTGAAATAAATGAACTTTTTGATGATATTCTAATTATATGACCAGCACCTGTAGTATTAGAGTGTCAATTATTAACAACAGTGGTGGTGGTGTGTGTGTGTGTGTGTTTTGGGGGGGGGGGCTTATGTTTACATAAAACTAAACATGTAGCAAACTACTACACCATGTTGTTGCTGTAGTTGGCAGGAGGCTCGGAGCGCACATGTTCAGAATCCAACCAGATTCCTTCACAAAGGAAGCAGAATAGTGGCTGCTCCGAGCAACAGAGAAAAAAGGCTGGGGGGTTATTTCTATGTGAGGTTACAGCCTGTTGACTAATAGGCAGTAAAAAGTGATTTATTAACAAGAGATTTCATTGAAAAACTACATATACTACATATAGCCCTTTTAAATGTTGCTGAAATCACAATTTGGAACATGAAGCTGGAGACTTCTCGTCAAACTGTAGAATGTTGAGGGAAATTCAGCTTGTACACAATGCACCAACTAAATCAAAAGAAAATCCATGATAAACATTAGGTTTTGTACAGCAGGGCTGCCTACCGAAACAACCACTGTGGATTTAAAGTTTATTTATGCTGTGCTTATTACCAAAATGAATAATATCAAAATAAATCAAAACTTACATTTAGGACAGTATAACAGTCACTCATTCTGGTAAAGAATCTAGAAATGTGAAGAGTGAAGCCACTGCCGAAGTGCCTTAAACCTGCATTCTTTAAACAGCCAGCAGAAGGCGACAAAATGACACTACTTCTCCCTTGATTTATTACCTCAGTAAACACTTTCCTAATGACTTTATGTTTCAAGTCTTCAGTACAGCATGATGTTAAATTTGTAAATTAAACTACTATTTTGTGATTGACAAGTCACTAGCACAGTGACCTGTCAATCAGGATAGAGGTGAATCGTATGCACTGCGCTGTGTAACTTGACCAAGCCGTGAACATATTTTTGAGTTATGTCTTTAAACGTTGACCCTTTCGCAGTTTGTTTTCTAATAGTAAAAGTTAACTGGAACATTTTGGTTGCCTAAAAATGTCTTGTTCAGCGATCAGTTTTACTAAAAGGCACTTTAAGGACTCAGTTGTTCATTTTTTCTGGTAAGTAACATTAAATTTAGTTTTGAGCCTGTTTTTCACCAGCCAATTTTAGCATCCTAATTAATATCACAGTTATTATGAATTACGGATGCACCTTGCAAGCTAGCTAGCTTCAACCTCTCCTCAAAATATGTCACTTCTGGTTCCAAAAAAACAAGCGGGCTGCAGCCAAAATGCCAAACTCATGGCTCAGGAACAGTAGTCTACAAAGCAATGGGTGATGTTACTGTGGCTATGTCCTCTTCTTTTCTACAATGTAGGATACTGATTTTGGACTGGGTGAAAAAATCAATGAAAAGAAAAGTTTCCAAAAACATCATGTTGAAAGATATTTGTAGTTTTTAATATATGTCATACAAAATGGTATGATATCATGTATATGACAGTTGATTCAGGAAAGTTACTGCTTTTCTCTTTAGGTTTTATTTTTCTGTATTGAACACAATTTTTTATCTTATCCTGGAACAAGTCATTTGGTAAGCTGTTACATCAATTGACTCCAATTACAAACCCAGCCCACATGTTGCCAATCAGCCAATCGCAAAAGATTCATGCTTGGTTTTCTTTTGTAATACAAAATAATTTGATATCATTATGTTAAAGTTGATCACAGGAAATTGCTGCTTTCCCTTTCTGTGGGTTTCTTACAATGTCAATTAAATTTTCCAACTATATATATATATATATAGCACCCCAATTGTGTAACAAGCCATTTGGTTCACTGTAACATCAATTAACTCCAACTACACACCAATCCTCTGTTTCTTTATCACCTCAATATGGTCTAGCCAGAATTATTATTAAGCAACACGTTTAAGCTGCGCAATGATAAACTATGCTGGTCTACAAGTAATAGTACTTTATCACAGCAGCTATTTTGACTTGCATAGTGGCAGACCCAGCCTTAAATGCTTCTTTAATAAAATTAGTTAAATTACATTAAACAAGCATTTAAGCGTTCTAGTACCAATATGCACAATGCAAGGGATCTGGAACTGGACAACAATGATATAATTGTGCTGTCCCTACTGTGACATGAAGATGCTGTGAAAAGGTCCATTGCAGTAAATGTGGTCCGATTGCCACAATAGTAATATTGCTTTCTATGTCCAGCAGGTGGCACAATTGATGCAAAGTTAGACTAATTCACAAGGCAGGGAATGTTAACTGAGTTTATACCTCATTTATAATCT